AAGATACTTCTAAAATGTGACTTGGGAATGAAAAAAACGTTCCAATCTAAGTTAAATAAAGATAGTGTATTCTTACCCATTTGAACTTGGAAAAATGGAAAACAGAGTGAAAATCTGAGCCTATATATAATGCTGAACTTTACGTATTTAGTGTGATTCTCTCTTTTTGCTTCTGACACTTTTAAAAGGTTATTACTTTCAGAATAAGTCACTGTCTGCTAAGTTCAGGTCAACTGGCAAAAACCCCAATGTGTGTAATTTGCCAGCCTATTAGGACAGAAATATTTTTATTATAAAAAAAATTTTTGGGTAATTCAGGGGCCTTCCTTTATGTTATGAGTCATTATAAGTGTTCTCTTGTCATATAACTCAGTGTGAATTGACTGTTACTTTACTGCTTGTGACTTAGAGCTTGAGGAATCACACCAGAAATGTCCTCCCTGCTGGAACCACTTTGCTGTTAAATTTCTCATTTGGGATTGTTGCCCGCTTTGGCTTTTAATCAAGAAATTTGTCAAGTTTGTGGTAATGGACCCATTTACCGACCTCACCATCACCCTTTGCATTGTGCTGAACACGCTTTTCATGGCCTTGGAACATTATAAGATGACGAAGGAGTTTGACCACATGCTTTACATAGGCAATTTGGTAAGTGAACATGAACTCGAAGTGCTACCTGAGGAGTATATTGCCTGCTTTTTAAAGTTTTGGCCACAGGTTGGGAAGACCCCATGTTGATATATTGTCAGCATTGCTTTGCTTATGTCACGTAAAACCACAGTCACCTCTTCCTGCGGGTGAAGAAAAAAGAATGGAAGACTCAGGTCTGTTTTTAAGCTAACATATTCTAATGTCATTAGTAACCACCAAAGCCATGTTTCTGGGCTGTTCCTGATAGGTATCAAGTTTGTATCTGTTTAAGAAAATAAGGATTAATGAAGTTTATTTGGGATTTCTGTTAAAGCAATGATAAGGCAGCTCTTGGTGACTAGTAGTGACTTCTAAGTTAAAAGCAAAAAAAACAAAAAAACCAAACAAACAAAAAAACCCAAACAAACAAAAACCAAACCCCAAAAAACCTACAGAAAAAAACCCCAAGGCAAGATCCTGGAGAGAAATAGAATGCTGTTTCATCGTAGACATGTAGGTAGACATGTATGTGCGAAGTCACCTGTGCTACATTTTCTGTATGTCCTACTGTGCCTCCCTGCCTTGTCCAGCAGTGTGTACTGGGACCCATGCAAACCCTGGGGCAGCGGGGATGTGGAGCAAAGCATGGCTGTGCTTCAGGGGGGAATTCTGAACACGCAGGCTGGAGCAGCCAGGGATAGAACTGCAAAGTAAGCAGAGACCGCACTTCTCCAAGGAGAAGCAGAGTGACAGATCTACAGCCAAGCTGCAGGGACAGCAGAAAAGCCTTTCCAGAGGCAATGCAGTACAATTTGTTAACCCAGGGGGCCACTAATATTCTGCAGTTACTACAAAACGGAAGCTTTTTCTTTAATTGTCTTTCTCTGGGTTTATGTATAAAAGTTACCATGTTTTACTGCTTTAACATCCTTTTAATTTTAGAAGAGTCTGTATTGGAAAAAGCACAGGCTATCTAGCTATGGGATGGTAGAACTGCCCTAAAATCTAGTGGTAGAAACGGACATATCCTGTAGGACCATAAGTAAGTCTGGAGTACCCTGGAACACGGATGCTGCTAAATTTGCATTTGAGAGGCTTACAGCGGAAATGAAGAAAGACCTTTATTTCTGTAAAAATGAAGGCTGCACCATCTCAAAGTGGGATTTACCTTGCCTAACTAGGTGTTTACAGCATAGGAGTCTCTGTCAGAGTTGGCTGCCTTTTTCTTCCTTTAAAGTCAATAAAGAATAATGGACAATTTTAATGCATAATTAATGCGATGTTTTAAAGACATTTACTTTTGGATAAGGTGAACTACGTCCTGGAGGCCACTGACTCTAGTCACAGTCAACTATAGTGGGAGTATGCGGAAACACTACAGATGTGATGTCTGCCTTTAGGGAGAAGCATCCTACGCTGGCAGGTTTAGGTGGGTAGTAGCAGTAATCAGACTTAATCAGACTTTTTCTATCAGTCCTAGCATATGTGGTAAATCACGTATGGATTTTTTCCTTTACCCTGGCCCTTGTTATTATTAGCTCTGGGCCTTCTTGGACAGGTTGAGGTTCTTCTCCTAGGCTGTGAGACCAGTCTCCAGTTTTTCAGCTGCTGTGTGCTGGCAAAGCTCTGTGTATAAAATCTGTTTGGGTTTCCCTTGCTTCAGACCCATGCTCTGCAGAAAGCACTAGATAAGGTAGCTTCGAAAGTCATCTCACAGAACTGCATCCAGCTCCACTTTGCAGCCAGCCTTCGTTGTTGTTGCTCAACAGTTTGTGGCCTTCTAAGATGACTTAAAAGTACTCCTTCAGAATCACTATCCGTCAGAGCAGGTGGCAATGCTGCCATTTCCCCCTCTGGCAATTGGTAAACATACCTGCTCCTTACTCTGCTTTTGGCAGATCAGCTTCTCTCTTTGCAGACCACAAGCAGTGAAACTCTAGCTCCTGCCATCTCTCCTTACCAACACAGTTCTTGCAGACCTGCTGGGACTGAGCAGGGCTGAGCAGGGTGCCAACAAGGAAAGAGAAACAATGAGCAGAGGCAGGAATTGCAAACGAATTTTGCAAAATCTTGAAAACAAACAAACCAACCCCAAAATCTTACTGTGAGCTCCTCAGCACTACCTAGAGCTGTTTCTCCTCTTTGTGCTAAAATCTAAAATAAACAATAAAGCCTGCTAATATTTTCTGTGGCAGGCTGATGGCATGGGATCCCCTTCCCCTGAGATCCCAGGATGGGTCTGTGGGATGCCAGACCGTCTCAGCTCCCCATCACCAGCTTTGCTTAAACTCCCACATAACTGGATTGATTGTGAGTAGAGCAGGTCAGAGGAAGGCAGCCCCATTTATGGAGGATTTTGCAAAGTCATTAGTAATGAAAATTGACTTTTTTTGCAATTTCCTATGAAAGAGAGAATCTCAGCTCCAGGGCAGGCTGCCAGGTGACTGCATTCCCTAAGCCACAGACTGCCAGATCCCTCCTCTGCCCCTATGCTGGCTGGCCATTGTCCTCCCATTGCATCTAACCCTCTTTGAGTGATTACACTAGCATTAAATGGGGGGAAGTATTAAAAAGGGCAGATTTTGGTCACTTTTTCTTCAAAACAAATGTTTCTGAGAGAAATGAAAGAATGAAAGTAGGCTATGGATTTGCTTTCTCCGAGAACAATTCTTTATCCACTAGCAGTCACTGGAGATCTCCTTCTCTGTCCATCTACTTCATGCAGCATCTGTTACCTTGAGACTCCTTTAGTTCACCACTTACAGGAATACACATTTTCAAATGTGATCAGAAGGCCAGCCAAGCACATGTACATGGTTCATCTGCCCATGTGATGCCACCACTTAAAAAATGGGTAGATAGAACAAGATTCCCCCAATTTTTATTTCCTTTAGAAACAGATACCATTATGCAATATTAAAGCCTAAATAGCTGAAATGATAGATAAAAGATTTTAATTTTTTTTAAGACAAAGCTCTCCAAATCATCAGTGTCATATTTAGCTCCAGTGGGATGTTATGTTACTTGTTTTCTTTCCAGCCTTTATCACTTTAAGTATCCAGCCTCTTGTCCAAGCCTAGACAGTGTGTACTAGGTGCCAGTGATTTGGCAACTGCCGCTTGAAATTCATAACTGGTACACATACACGATTCCTGATGCCTTTAGGAAGGCTCAGACATTTTGCTATCTTACCGTGACATTTCCTTCTCAGAAGTCTATTGATTAAAATGATTCAGGCAAAGAAAGTGATCCTCCTGAGTCATTTCTCAGCAAGATGGTTGCATAATGTATGCAGCATGGTATTGTGTTTTTTAAGGCAGTCCCCTAGATATGATTTCACAGACATCCAGTTTTGTCTTGTTCTCTGTCCTGAGGGAAATTGAAGCATTCTGGTGGGAAGCTTTGGTATCTCTGACCACCGTGACTCAGAAATTGTTGGCTAGTTAGAAATATGAGACAGGTCGTTGTGTTGGGTTCTTGCTAAGAGATGGTGATGGGATGTTGATACATCACAAGTATTTTTGCAGTCCAATGTCCTGATGAGAAAAAGAAGGTATTTTATACAAGAAACTGTGTAAAATGACTGCTTGGAAAAATTCGTTCCTGAAGCATGACAGAGTAAAGCCAAGCATTCCTCAAATGCAGGCTATAAAAAATTATTTTTATTGTTTAATATCAAAACTATATAATCTTAACTTTTCTCTTCTACATCTTACTGAATTTCTCATCTCCATTGCTCAAAGTTGATCAGTTTTGCTGGGATAATGCTGCAAATATTTAGCTTATATTAAGGAAAACATTTCTCTTTGACTGTATGTTACTAATAAGTGAGCTCTGGATTCCCCCCTGGTTTTTAACCAACATGGTGTATTAACGTTGACTGTTTCATGGAAAACTGTGTGCTTTAATATATATGTATAGTAGAGAATTTTTCAGAAACATGAAGCTCTGTGTAGCTTGTACTGAGACTTGGAATGAAAATGAAACCATGTATGAAGAACTTGATGCCCACATTTTGTCATTTCAGTTGATTGTAGCCTTGCGTTTTGCATTTAAAATGTTACTTAAGGAGGCATACGAAAGCACAAGATCTGATTCTCTGAGATACTTTGCCAGGAATTTATTAAAACTGAATTTGCTGTCAGTAGCCTTCCCTCCCCTTCTCCCTCTGCCTCATAGTTAATATTTGTATGTTGTTTTAAAGAAAAGTGTTCCAGTTAGAAGTTCTGCCATATGACATTTGAACTGGGTCATAAATAAGCAATATGTTCCCAAGATGCTGTCAAAAGAAAATTGCCACGAGTATTTGTAAAAAAAGTCTAGGACTCAAATTAGAGTTTCTAATCACCTGTCAGCTATAACCTCAGAATGACTGGAGGCTTACATTGCCCTGGTATTGACAATAATAACAAAATAAAAAGGGATAATACAGCAGGTACACTACAACCCAATACCCTTTAACACTCACACTACATTTATTTGGCTTTCTCCCCTGAAATGAACAGATTTAACCTTTATAAAAGGCACCTTTACACTTTCTTTTTTTACCACTGGGATTGTTCAGATGATTGAAGGAGATGGGAATGTATGTTTCAATCCAGAGCTTGAACTTGGATGTCATTGTACGTTTACAGCATTATCAAATATTATTGTGAAAAGACTAGAGAAAGTTGTAATAGTAATAAAGAATCAGGCATGAAAAATAAAGTTTTTGCTTGTAAAATGATTGGGTTTTTGCTTTCTGCTGTGTTCACCTGTATCAGTGGAAAGTCTGCAAGCAAAGAGGTGTGCTTAAAAGGTTACTTTGACTTCATATTTTCTTTCTGCAGGTCTTCACTGGAATTTTTACAGCAGAAATGATCTTCAAAGTAATTGCCCTTGACCCCTACTACTATTTTCAGCAGGGCTGGAATATTTTTGACAGCATAATTGTTATTCTAAGCCTGATGGAACTGGGTTTGTCCAGTATGGGAAACCTGTCTGTTTTACGCTCCTTTCGACTGGTAATGGTCTTATTCTGTTCTTATCCATCTTCTTTTATTATATATAAACTGACATGAATGCAACATATTTTCTTAAAAACGCATCTGCCGATAAAGACTTTAATTGCTGCAAACTGGTGAACAGTACGTGACAGTAATTATAGGCTGCACGATAAATGGAATTGCTCCAGATTTACATCAGGGTAAACGAGAACATAATTTGATTCCTTCTAGCTGTGCCAGGTACTTGCAGAACACTTAAAATGTTTGAGTTCCAATTTGTAATAAGAATCTGCCATTTTGTACCTGTACACCTCTTAGCATAGTCAGCAGATAATTGATAGCCCAAGAAATGCAAGAGCTAGAATGTTGCTTTAGAAGTTGTTATTCCTAAATTATGTTATAAACATGCCACTGTTCTTTTAGATGTTGTCAAAAGAAGATGTCTTTGAATTATTCACAGGATGATTTTTTTTTCCTAGAACTGATCAGCATAACATAGCATCTGTCTTTCACGGGAACTCCTTAGCTGTCAGCTCCTTTGTTATGCATGGGATAGTGCTATTCTATTAATGAGAAACTGTCGGCGTATTGGAACAGAAAAGTAGTTTCCTTGCCAGCCTGACATTTGTGTTGCACTTCATGTACCAGGATGTCCATGCTAATCATTCTGGCCATGATACGGCTTCACAACTTGGAAAGACCAGGAAAATAAGCCTTTATGATTACATTTAGCAGAAGACTTTTTTTACCCAAAATTCTCTGCACTGCTCAAAAATGCTAATTTTTCACTGCTTATGTTACATCCTGAGAGTCTCCTGTCAGTTTTTGATCAATCTTTCTTCAATAGGGCTGAAATTAACCTTCGGTTGAAAACACAGCACAAGGGCTAGGCACCATTTACGTCCTTAAAATAGGTCTTAAGTGGGACGTGGGTTGTGCATAGATTGCGTGATCCTCGGCACAGTGGTGATTTTCACCCTGGGAGCTAACAGCTAATAACATCTGGCTGAGGCTTGCTCTGAAACACTGAGGAATTGCTTCTCCCTTTGTGGGATCAAACCCTAAACCCCTTCCCCCAGATGCCTACCAGGCTGTTTAATTTGAGGAGGAAAAGCAGTGTAAAAGAAAATACTAAAACCTGAGTTTTCTCCTTCCATCCTCTCCCCAGATATTATGATACTGGGGGAATGAGCAGCTAAAAGCCCGTCTATCTAATGAGGCAGAGCATAGCTCTGGAAAACTGAATTCTCATCCAAGAAATCCAGCTGATATTTTATTAATAGTACTAGTGAGGTTAGTAGGAAGTGTGGCTAGAATCACCTTGTACCACACGCTGTGGCATTCAGCGTCTTTCACGTTTTACGCACTTTAATAATTCATCAGCTGAAATGTCCGTTGCTTCTGTGAACTGACACTGTTGTTTATGTTTTGTTCACAGCTGCGAGTCTTCAAGTTGGCAAAGTCCTGGCCGACCTTAAATACACTCATCAAAATCATTGGTAATTCAGTGGGTGCCCTCGGTAACCTCACTCTTGTGCTGGCAATCATCGTCTTTATTTTTGCTGTGGTAGGAATGCAGCTTTTTGGGAAAAGCTACATAGACAATGTGAAGAAGATAAGCACGACTGGCAATTTGCCACGGTGGCATATGAACGATTTCTTCCACTCGTTCCTCATCATCTTCCGAATTTTGTGTGGGGAGTGGATTGAGACCATGTGGGACTGCATGGAAGTAGCTGGGCAGCCGCTGTGCCTTCTCGTCTTCTTGTTGGTCATGGTGATAGGAAACTTGGTGGTGAGTTCTCAAGATGTTTTTTTCTCCTCTTCCTGGTATGTGTTTTTTTCTCTCCTCTTCCTGGTATGTGTGTACCATTTTTAAATTCAGAAATAGCAAATTTCACATTGCTCCATAGCTTTAATTCAATGAACCAAGTTGTCACCCAGAGAAACTTGTTCATATCCCAGATACAAAATTGCCAGCATTGCATTACTAATTAGGAATGAAGGCTTACGCATTTTTGCAGAACAGATAATGTTCTGTTAGAATAAAGGCACATGGGCTAGTTATAATGATTTTATTTCTTAGGCCAATCATGGGGCTGAAGGGATTCCAGATCTCTCTCCTATACAGGAGGGAATAGCACCTTAACTGTCACTGTACTGAAAGATGGTTTTATTTTGCTTCAATTTTGGTCCAGAACACGTGAACCTTATAGCTAGTGCAATGTCTTTGAGTAGAGTTTCTCATGTCTTTAGCCTGCATGTTCCAGGAAGCTACAGGTTGTTTTTACAGTAGTCACTTGCTCACTTGCTTTTTTAATAGACTGTCCCATAAGCATGGCTTACATAAGCTCTGAAACTATTAAGACTGAATTGTATTTCCCTGTTGACATCTTAGGGAGCGCTTTGTTGGCTTGCAGTCATTGTGGAAATGTTTCGCCTGTTCAGCTTAACAGAGCATCTTTGACATTGAGGCTCTAATGGGCTTACTGTTTATGTAGAGAATTCTTTAATAGTAGATGCTGCTATAAAAAAATGTTGGGTTTTGCTACTGATTGCTTTTAGTGGTTGTTTTGCTTTTAAGTACACAAAGTTTTGGTTCTCAGCTGCTGGGATAGAATAGTTCTTGAAAGAGCTTGTAGAAAAACAGAGAGCATTGTTTTGTTTACATTAATTTACATTTTAACAGTTAGGTTTGCACTAAACCAGGTTGGCACTGGCACAGGTTGCCCAGAGAAGCTGTGGCTGCCCCATTCCTGGCAGTGTTCAAGGCCATATTGGATGGGGCTCTGAGCAACCTGATCTAGCGGAAGGTGCTCCTGCCTGTGCAGGGAGATGGAACTAGATCATCTTTGAGATACCTTATAACCCAAACCATTCTGTCATTCTATAATTCAAGATGTTAATTTGCAGGTAGAGAGAAGGCCATCTTACTCCTCTGGCATCTCCAAGATTCTTGTCACATCTGCCAGTACTTATGGTAGTGTCTGTGGTCACATTCCCAATTGCAAGGCTAAGCGTTACACAGCAGACCTTAACTACTAAAGTAAAGTCTGCAAACTGATGTTGGAAGAGTTACAACCACTACAAGTTTGTGGTACTTTCGGTGATTCAGTTTGCAGGTCTTCCCAAGTCTCACTAACATAAATTCAAAGGAACGGTGGAAGAAAACTCAGCAAAGTTAGTAAGTGCCCTGGGTAACTTCACGTTATAGAGCAGTCCAGCTGTTGAAAGGAATTTTAGTAAATCTGAAATCGTTGGTTTGTATTTATACATCCTGCAAATGTCTTGGACCAATGCAGTGCCACGTGAATTTATTTTTACTGTGGGTCAGCTGATATTGAAGTCATCTTCAAAGAACTAAACTTTACAACATAGTTGGAAAGTATGTGCTGTGTAACTGCCTTTGGCACAATAGGACTATGCTGTTATTGTCAGATGGCATTTTTACAATATTTGAAGCTGCTTTGGAAGGTAAGGCCAACTATAATAAAATAGTTCTCCCTCATTTGTGAGAAAGAGCTGCTGAAATTGTTAACTGAATTATTATGCTTTATGTTAAGTTTTATAAAGGGCTTATGCGTATGTTATATATGTGTATGTTACTGAGGTTAATAAGGAAAATCACCATGACAGGAATTATTAAGAAGATGTAGGGGAATTTGGGTAGTGAGGCAATCGCTAGTGCCCCCTACTCTGGCAGGTCAGCCAACACGAGAGTCAAGCATGACACCAGCCACTTCTCAGGGGACAATTGCATGTAATGGGTGCTAACAACGTGCATGAATAAAACTGACACTTCAATCACAGATAGAACAACCTTCCAACCTCATTCTGTGTGCATGATGTACACTGGCCAAGCACCCTTTTTTTTCTTCTGCCTGGATGACGCCTGTTTTATACCAGCTTCTCCTGAAATGCCATCAAGTGAAGGGCAACATGACACAGGGCAGAAATGCACTATCTGAATTTGCTCATGCTCCAATTTGGCTGTGTATGACATAGACAACACCCAAAAAGCATCAGTTAGCATTAACCCAAGCTAACAGCTGCAATGCATTAACACACCCTCAGGGCTGAGGCCCTGTACTGGTGTCATCTCACCTCTGCCTGATTTACATATATCCCCTAGCACTTTCATGGCGCATTCACCACCCAATCCGCCACAAGCTGGTAATTCACTGCTACATTTCCATGGTGGATTTTGTCTTCCTGGAGTCACAGGCATGCCAAGATGTAGAGTCTGTAACCAGAGAAATTCTGACATCTTCAGAATTTTCCTGGAAGATGAAATATAAGGCTGGAAGTGCTCTTTTAGGATCAGCCCTAGGCTTTTTTTCTTTCTTTCTTTCTTTTTTTGTCTACTGTCCATGGAAATACTATTCACTCAGGAAAATTTTAATAATAGTTTATGAGAACATGAAGGTAGAAAGCACCATCAATTTCTAGGGTATCAGGCTATCCTGTAGGACAAAATGCATAACCATTATCATTGAATTAATGCGTGATGCATGGAATAATGAAATACCAAGTGGAAGGTCATGCACTCAGCCCTATTTAAGAATTTATGTTATGATCAAGTAGCGTACCAACAGAAAATGTTTGAGAGGATAATAGAAGTATATGTATCAGTCACTGTGGACATCTACATCTGAGATAATTGCATGGAGATGCCTTTGTAGTCAGATCTGGTTAATGGAATCCATGAAGTTGTAAAATATTTTACCCAAGAATGCATCTAAAGTGTATCAGATTAAATAGCCCCTAAAAGTACCTATTTCTGTCCCTGAAGTATTGGGAGGCAAATTTAGCTGTAGATACTCTCATGTACATATCACTCTGGCTGACTGAACCAGTATGATGTACCCATGCACCAATACGTTGCATTCATGAAAAAAATAAGGGAGATTTCAATAAATATCAGGAAAGGTAATTACAGAAGGTATGAATGCTGTTGCATAGACATCTGCAATATTAGATATGCAATACACCCCATTAATTAATACACTCCATTAATGACTGATGCTCAAGTAAGACTAAGTGGTACTGGGAAAAGCACAGTATCAGAACATGAAGTTGATGAGGGGAATACAGAGCTAAGCATGGCAGGAGAATAATTTAGGTGACAGGATATTGCTCATCCCAGAACAAAGGAATATAAATCACTGTGGGTACCTTTAGGCTGGGTTTTGGAAAGGAGACTTCTGGCTGTCAGCACAGTGAGGTTGTTTAGGAGGACTTTCCAGCAAGACTGACTAGCCCCAAATCAGCAGTGTATGAGATAGAGTATGATAAGTTTGTGAAGGAAACAACCCATATTATCAGGGGGCTTAACTTGGCTACCCAAGAGCACCTTCCAGTCACATTCTTGGAAAAAAACAGGTTTGCCCCACCCTACATGTCCTTCCTACAAGTCAGTGTAAGACGGTTCCTTGAGGAGATGTTCTGGGAAAGTGTTGCTAAACCTCCATCAAGTTAAAATCTGTGGATCCTTAAGCTGGTCAGATGCCAAGAAAACGTCATTAAGTCTCATTTACCACCATTTCTATCTTTAACAGCCAAAGTCTGTTGATAAAATGACATATTATCAGAGCTGTTCTGACAGAGACATGTCTCTGCAGCAAGGCAAGAAAGATAGTAATCAAGCTATGGGGAATGATAACTTCTTAGTGTTTCCATCTCAACATGTTCTTCCACAAAAGTCTGTCTCCCTACACTAGAAGGTTGTCCTGAGTGCCACCAGTGCATTATGGATGGGAATAAATGTCCTAGGAGGATGAGAAGGGTGAGGGGAATGAAGGGCCATTTGGTATAGATCCTGGCTTTAACGATGTGCAAGAGTGAGATTTGGGACTGGGAGGATTGTTCAAGTGGGAAAGAGAAGGGACTACAGGTCCCTTAGTCTATAAGAAGAAATTCACAGCAATTTCATGCCCTGAATCACTTTCCTCAGTGACAGACCCTAAGTAACATAAGGAACCATTGGGTTTCATGTGGCTATCTAATACTTACTAGCTATGTCTGTAATCCTGTAGTTAGGCAAAATCGCTTTCTATGTGTGCCTGCAAATTTGTGTCTATCCAGGTCAATTGTTTTATTTCTTTTCTTTTTTTTTTTTTTTTTTTAAACATTAAGAACAAAGGAAAGGCCTGTGATAAACATGTCATTCTGATTACCTTTGTTCGCTTTTTTTAAATTTGTTTGCTAATGTTGCCTTTAGTTTGATGCTTGCAGTTAAGAAAACAGAACAAAAAATCACAAAAGTAGCTGTGATGTGTAGTGTGTAAATGTGTAAGATGGGGCTACTATTTGGATTGTCTGGCCTACAGCACTGGAGCTTTGTTTCTATGTAAAGGCATTTCCTAGAATTAATTACTGAGTGTTACTGCATGAGCACCATAATCTCTAATCTAGGAACATGAGAGGGTGTGTATGTGGCCATCTGTGTAGGAGAACCAGTAGCCCACCATGTAGGAATCCATCAGCTGGCCAACAGCATGGGAGTTTCAAAGGCAAGGGACTATCCCAGCTGAAAGTTTGTCATCAGTGCTGGGTTTGAAGAAGTTTAAGAATATGGATCAAGATGGTCTTGCGCATTTGTCCTCAGTGCCAGAAAATGTTCCTGGGCACATTCAGTTTGTTAGGATAGAACTAGCCATGAAGTCCTGTCTCACCCAACACTTACACATCTCTATCACTGCAAATTTCTCAGCAGATCACAACCAGGCTTGAAAGAAGCTTATCATAATCTGTCGTATTTTCTCTTTGTCTAAATGAGATAGATATAGAGAACTA